AAACAAAGCGTAAGACCTGGTTTGAAATCTTTGAAAAAAGATAAAAAGTCAAAAAATTATAAAAAATGTGTTAAAAAGTTATCATCATTCACAGAAAAAAAATAAATAAATTTAACACATAATAACATTTCAGACAACTCTGCGGTACAACAGGCGGAGGTAACTTGTTGAAAAAATTACACCGTTTTAGGTGTACAAATAACACAGTGCTGTTCGGCCCATAAGGGCTCATCATAGGTCCCGTTTTAATAATTTGAACCGTGCAATGTGTAAAACTCGTCGAGTACTACATTTACATGAAAAATCACGTTGATCGGATATGGGTAAGTATATGATCAAATCATTTAAAATTTATAAAATGGATAGTGGTATAGTTAACCGTTAAAAAAAACTAATTCGATCAGATAACTATCAATATCCGATCAATGTGATTTTTTACAAGTATATATTACTCGACGAGTTATACACGTTGAACGATTTTAGTTAGCAAAAAGGGACCCGTAATGGGCCCCACAGGCCGAACAACACCTCCAATTCAATGCCCGAAAAGTAGGGAATCATATCCAGGCTACACTCCACACACGCTGTCCTTTATTATCCTACCGGGCTACCTATTTCATCCAAATCTTTTCCTATACACTAATTTATAAAATTTTTTAATACACATTTTTTTTCATGAAAAGTCAAAAAATTTTACCAAATAACTATATTTTTTTTCTCAACTTTTTAGTCCAAAAAATAAAAAAATGCACTTATTTATGACACCCCAAACAACCCCTAAAATTTGAATAAAAACTAAGATTGGTATATCTTTTTAAAATTTTCCCGTAACAGTCCTTTGGTTTCTCTAAATTGCAAATTTATGGCCCACAATTTTCTTTAGAATTTTATATGCTTTAAAATTTCACAATACTTTATTTGGTTTTTAGGGATTGTTTGAGGTGTCCTAAATAAGTGCACTTTTTGTCTTTTTAGACTAAAAAGTTGAGGTTGAAAATATGAATGTTTGAGTTAACTTCTTGACTTTTTATGGAAAAATATGTATTAAAAAATTGTATAAATTAATGTGTAGGGGAAAATAAGTGTTGGGAGTTGTGCAGTTGTAATTGTTGACTTTTGGTGAATAGTGATAACTTTTTAACTTTTTGAGTAACTTTTTAACTTTTTGTCTTTTTGGAGACTCTCCAAACTTGGCCTTAGTTTTCACTTATTTCATTTTTTAAAACTATTTTTAGTCATTTTAAAAAATATGATTTTTTTGAAAGTTCATGATATTAAGGTTTTATAATATAAATGACATACAATATTTTCATAATAATTAAGATCCCTTAACATTTTCACAGAGAAAATTCAATTATCTGTGAAATTTGAAATTTTTCTGAGTTAGACAAAATTTATTTAAGTCGAATTTTCTCTGTGAATATGTTGAGGGTAGCTAATAAAAAAAATATTTTAGATATTTCCTACTACACAAAGTTGATGTTTCACTAATGTTTCCTTAAAAATATTGTAGACAACAAAAAATTTATTTTATTTTTTTGATTCACCTAATTGTGAGATACTTAAAAAAAAATATATTTAAAAATCAATAAATATAAAAGATATAAAAAAATATATAGACTCTGTTTGGAAGAGTTTCCAAACTTTAGTTCTATCCATTGTTTTGAACGTGGTATTTGTTTATGGTTTTAAAAAATTAATTCCACACTTACTTTTGAAAACTCTATCCAATGTAGGAAAATTTGGCTAGTCGATCGTCCGGCTGATTGACTGAAACAGTGCATAATTTTATTTTATTTTTGCAATTGGCACATGTTAATTTTTATATATTCAATAAAAAAAATATTTATTGAATTTTTTTGAATTTTTAAATTTTTTTTATGAGTTTTGACTAGAATTTTGAATTGTGTGTTTGGTTGTGAATTGTAAGTTTTTGTATCAAATATCATATGTCATATCAAAAATTCTCCGCTCAATTCAAAACTCTTTCACCAAACAAATTTTCTACACTCAAATCATAATTCACAAACTCACAAACTTAAAATACAACTCTATTATCAAATCATATTTAAAAAAACTCTACCAAACGCAACTATACTTCTTTTGGGTTTTTTTTTTTTTTAGTATTTTAGTCCCTTTTTATAAATAGAACAATCATTATGCCCAAAATATAAGAGAGAAAAATGAGAGAAAGTAGTTATATGACTCAAACTTCGTTTGATGTTTGACATTGTTTTTTCAGTTGATTTTTTTGTGTTGAAATTTTTTTACCTTGATTTTTTTAGCATCGTTTGATTTGATTTTTTTTTATTTTTGTGAGACAAAAAAATATAATAATTATAGTTTAAATATAATATTTTATTTTATTGACTTATGTAGCTAATTTTATCTTTTTGTATATTTTAATCAAAGATCTAAAATCTAACGAAGCTTCAATATAATTGAAAAGCACACCACATGAAATATATATCATTTATTGTGGCTAATTTTATATATTTACTTTAATTAAGTAGATTTAATTAAATGTCTGTAATAATTATTTATAATTATAATATGCAGTTTTAATTGTTATATTAATGATATTGCAAGTAATATAAAAACAAATAACGATGATACTATATGCATCAATTAGTATACACATTAGTGTGCCAATTAGTATTATGATATTATTACTGACCACGTTTATTATACAAGTTACAAATAATCAAAACAATACAAATGATGCCACATCATCTATTAGCATACTAATGTGTATATTAATTAGTACATATAGTATTATTTAACAAATAAAGATTAACATACCTTTACATTTATGATATTTTGTGACATGATGAAATGAAATAAGTGTGAATGGACTAAGAGCTTGATGAGTAGTAGCTATAATAATAGCACCTGTGTCTTTTTAATCATAAGAATATAATTAATTTCTTTTTTTAATATTCCAAAACTATATGAATTAAATCATTGACTATAAAATGATAGCATTTACGTCATTATTCTACCACGATCTTGAAAAATGTTTTAATCACTTCCAATTTCAACAATCATTATCATTGAACATTCATATGAAATTATGTACTCATTTAGTTATAATTTTTCTATTGTTTGCCAATTTATTTATTTCACTTAAAAATAAAAGGGATTTTGGTGGATTTGTAAAACAAATTTGAGCCTTAAGAGTGGCTAAATTTTCATTATGTTTTGTTTCATTTTCAAAATGTGTTTTTTTTTTTTTGGTTCAAAAAATAGAAACTAGTTTGAAGTAAATAAACACAAAAAACATATTTTTATTATTTTCGTTTTAAAAAATATAAAATAATGAGTGTTTTTTATTTATTTGATTTTATTCATCAAATTAGGTTTTCATTATTTGGAAAAAATAAAAATAGATTTTATAAACAAAACCAAACAGCAATATTTGAATGTTGTCTTTGAATTATTTCATAATAGTAATCACAACCCATAATAATATTACTATTAAGACAGTTAAAAAAGTTAGAACGACTGTGTCGTCGTTTGGAAAGAGTTAATTTAGTGATTATTTGACATGTGTTAAAATAATACATGCCATTTTAACATATTATCTTATTTAGCCTCCGTTTGGGAAGTGGGCTGGCTTTTTGGCTTTTTGATTTTTTTGGCTATTTTAGCCTGGGCTAAAAAGCTTGGTTTGGGAAGGATTTTTTGGCTTTTTAGCTTTTTTAACTTTTTTTGTGAGAGAAGAGTGTAATGATTATGGGTTGGATGTGATGTTTTGTTTGTTATGGCTAAAATAGCCTATTTTGTTTTTTGTGGCTAAAATAGCCAAAAAAGCCTGAAAAAGCCCTTGCCAAACACAGGCTTAGGTTACAATCATCTTATTTTAATCACATCATCTTTTTATCACATCACTTTAAACTCAACCTATATTTCACATTTTTTTATAAAAAGTTAAAAAATATACCAATCTACCACTTCCCATACAATCCCTTAGTATAATTTTTTAGTTAATTTAGTTTAATTAAATTAGTTATATCTTAAATGAATTTTTGAATTTTTATAATTTTATAAAAAAATTTATAATTTAAATATAATATTTTATTTTATTTAATCCGTTTAGTTTTGCGAAACGAAAGCTATATTGCAAATTCAGGAAGCAGAGGAGCCCCATGAAAAAAAAAACCAAAAAATACAACCAAACAATTCCGTCAGCAGAAAATGATAATCTAGTTTTTTGAATTCAATTTTTTGAAAATTAAGTTTTTAATTTTTCGTATTTTTTTATTAGTTTTGCGAAACGAAAGCTATATTGCAAATTCAGGAAGCAGAGGAGCCCCATGAAAAAAAAAACCAAAAAATACAACCAAACAATTCCGTCAGCAGAAAATGATAATCTAGTTCAATTTTTTGAAAATTAAATTTTTAATTTTTTGTATTTTTTTATCGTTAGTAAATATTTTTAAATTTGAAGTAAATTTTTACTTTTTTTAGTTGTACTTTACTTAGATGTATCTTAATAATAAAATATTTGTGAAAAATATTTTTAAAAATTGATAAATACACAAAAATATAATAAATGTACTAAATTTTCATATTTTTATTATATTTTTTGGTATTTAGTATATTTTTTATTATACTTTTTAAGTGCATATATGTTAGATGTGTCTAAAAATTAAAGAAATTATTAAAAATATTTTAAAAATTCATTGAAATAATTAAAATACGAGAAATAAAAAAGTAAAATTTTTTTAAAAATTATTTTCAGAAAATCAGAACTAAGCAAAGTGAATATTTCGCTACTGCATAAAAAAAAAGAAAGCACACTCGCTGTTTCTAACAAACACGCGCCGTGAAGAGCCAATCGCAAACAGATGATAGCAGATGGCAGCCAAAGAAAGCGAGTACACATTTCCTTCAACAAGCGCGAGTATTAACACTGTTTAGACAGCCGAAGAAAAACAGCGTTGTCAATTTAAGAAAAGTTTGATAAAATTTCTCCTCAAAAATTTAACATAGATATTTATTTATTTTTAATTTCCTCCGAAAATATTTCACATTTTCGATCTCTCTTTTCATTTTCCCTCTCTGTTTTTTCTTTTCCAATCTTTGGAGGGAAAAGCCTCCAAACTCAAATTCCATTTCTGTTAAAAACCCTAGAATTTCAAGTTATACGAGCTTAATTTCTCTATCGCTATCCTCTCTCTTTCTTTCTCTCTTCAATGGTTGAAGTTGCTGTTTTTCTCAGTTGCAGGAATAGCTAGTATAACTTCGAGTTTTTTGATGTTCTCGTGCTCGAATTTGTCTAAGGTATGGAGTTTTGAACTTGATTTCAGCTTAAATTTGGTGTTTTTCTGTGTTTTTATACTCATGGTGTGGATCGATTTGTGTTCTGTCAGTTGTGTTTTTAGGGTTTTGGTTAGTTCAAGTAGGGGTTGTAGTGATGAATCTAAAGTTAATTACTTTGCTTGGTCAAATGCGTTTGATACTGGTGGTGAATCTAAGTAATGATATGTTGGTTTGGTCTGAATAGTATAAAGGAGAGTGTGAGATTCTCATCATAAGTAAATCATCACCAAGTTATATGCACAAACATACAAACATTTCTATGTGTAATTTTTTTTTTTAATAAAAAAAACCGAGCCATTTATCATACTATATAAATATATGCTTTATTTTATTTTTATTCTATTGTAAATGAATGCAAAAATTAGAGTGAAGTGGGTGCAAAGACATTGCAGGCATGCGATGTGGGTTAAGAATTTATTATTTATTTATTAATTTTTCTTTTTCTGCTTAGAGAAGGACATATGTGGTTAGGTATTCATTTGTTATCATTTGCGAGAACAAAAACAGGAAAAGAGAAAAAAAGAAGAAGAAGGAATGTGGTTTTAGGTTTGGTTATTATGAATTGCCATTAGATCAAAAGACAGATAACCAGAAATTATACTCAAAAGTGTAAATAATCACCCCATTAATTTTTTTTTAGTCTCATTTGACCCATGGTTGTTAAAATCGCGATCCGGATTGTAGGATCCTACGATCCTACTTTGCCAAAACGATCCAGATCGTTGTAGGATCGATGTTATAACAGGATCGCAAGTAGGATCGTGTAGGATTGCATGGGATCGTGTAGGATCGTATGGGATCCCATGGGATCGTAGGTAGGATCGCAAGTAGGATTGTAGATTTTATAATTTTTCACCTTATTTTTAATAATTATCATTTTAATTTTAATTTTAATTTTTTTTTAATAGAAAGTAGGATCTTACGATTTTCAATCCGATCCACCAGACCCTCTCACCGATCCTACTTAGGATCTCGATTTTAACAACCTTGATTTGACCACATATTTGGCTGCCAATACTTTTGCCAATAATTGAAATGATATCATTAGAATAAGAAATTATATGATCAAGACAATTCCTTAGGAAGAAGGGAGGAGTGAGGTGACACCACTGTACTGCAGTGTTCTAGACGTTAGGATTTGGGTAGGGGTTCATTTGTGACAATTTGGAATAACACAATAAGGTGGGGTTTCTGTTTAACGTTAGGTTACTGCCTCTTTGGTTATTTGGGCAAAAGAGGGAAAAGAATAATGAGTTCATGTGGTAGAAGTAGAAATCAAGTTTAAAAATAAGGTTGTCATATATTCTTTGGTTAAATCTTAAATGGTTATCTTATTTATTTTGATAAACAGGAATGAGAACCCCTTTAACAAATTCACTTTGTTACTCTGCTTGCATCAAAAAGATTTTCGATGCAAGTTGACATCAACATCCAGTGTGGTTACCCGTTTCAGTGGTTTCACAGATTTATCATGTTGCCTGTATTTTATTTAACCATTTAAGGTGACTGAGGGGCTGTTTGAGAAAAGCAGAAACTTAATTGATCTTTTTATATACTGGCTTTTTAAACTTCTTATGTGTTTGATAAATGTGACTTGCTTTTGCCAAATGCCACCTAAAGATATAGGAGTTCCGGGAAGCATGGTTCTGTCATTTTCCATGCTTCTTCAAGCCAGCATAACTATGCTTGGTTTCACTTTTCAAAAAATATTTTTCAGAAAATTTTACTTTCTTATTTTCCGTGTTTTTTTGTTTTTACTGATTTTTTTTAATATTTTAAGCAATTTTTTTAATTTTTAGGCATACCTAACTTAAATGTATCTAAAAAGTAAAAAAATTGTGACGAAAACCTTTTAAAAATTCACTAAATACCCAAAATATAAAAAAAATACGAGAATTCTATACATTTTTTGTATTTTTATGTATTTATTAATTTTTTAAAATATTTTTTCACAAATTTTTTACTTTTTAAATACATTTAAGTAAGGTGCATCTAAAAAGTAAAAAAAATGTTTAAAATTTAAAAAATATTCACTAAAAACAAAAAAACACAAAAACTTAGTTTTCAAAAAGCTTAATTCAAAAAACTCAAACCAAACACACTGATTGGTTTCCACTTGAACAAGTTGGGATGAAGGAGCTGGACATGGCCATGTTTACTTCTTTAAGTACGCAAATAGTGTGGCCAGTGGGAGATAGGATTTTCACGCTTTTGATCATTAATGGGCAAGCCACATGGAGTTACAAAAAAATTGAGCCACTTTTAACATTTTGATATGGAGTACATGATAATGCTTTCCACTCCATGTTCACAGCCATTTCTTTGTATGGTCATGTGCATTACATTGATTTGGTTTGCATATGTTTGTGTTTGAGTTTAATTGCTGTAATTTGTTCTCCAACAATTCTTCATGCTTATTGATGATCCTGTTTTTTTTGTTCCTCCTTTGCAGAACACAAGGTGATGGTTGCTATTCAGGTCCTGCCTTCAAAATTACAGTGATGTCTTTTTGTTTGTGTTTTCCAATTTCATAGTTTGTTTTCAAAGTTGAAGTATATTCAGAACAGACCCCGGGGGGTGGCTCCTCTTTTTTTATTTATATTATTCTACTTAAGGGGATTAGCTATTAAGCATCTAAAGAATTGGACATTCTTTTCTGAGTTGGAAATGCAAACCAAGAAAAAGGTTGGTGGCAGAAACTCTGCTCAAGATAATTCCAGTCCAAAGGTTTCTAGACAGCAGAAAAAAGTGTCTGAAAATGTGCAAATTGCAGAGAAGAAAGTTACAGAGCTAATCACCTCATCTGCTAGAAAGCAAAAAAATGGTTAGTTGGTATCTCAAACCATTGCTTTAGATAATGGCTGTGACAATAGTTTCTTGTCACTTTGGTTCATGTTAACATGTTTATGGTTCTTTTATTGCAGTTAAGTTTTGCGGATAATAATCCCAACTGAATCAATTTTATTGTTGCTAATGTTTGTGAAATATTGGTCCTGTTTGGTAGAGTTGTGGGAAAGTGCTTATAGCTTATGCCTATATAGCTTATACCTTATAACTATGAACATAAGCTGATTTCTGACTTATAAATTAAGCATCTCCTGCCCCACTCAAAGAATAAGCTGATTTTTGACTTCCAAAAAGCTATAAGGTATAAGCTATAAGTTAAACCAAACACATCAAAATAGCTTAAATTAAGTTGAAAGCTGAAATAAGCAGCTTTTAAGCTGCACCAAACAGGCACATTATTCTTATTGTCCTATTGTATTGGTGGTAGATACACAAGTTTTATCACAGAACAGTATGTTTGTCTGTTGGTTTCTTCTCTTCTTTCCTTGTCTGTCATTGTGACTTAGAAATTAGACTATGGTTCCGGTGTTAAAGTCTTGTGGATGTCGTCTCCTATCTTGTTAATTATAACTTTTGACATGCTTCAATCCAAGTTAAATTTAAAATTGAAACAAAGCATTAGAAGAGCTTGCTTAGAATGGTCAAAGGCTTGCAAGCAGATGTGTGCCTTTTTGCTTGCTTTGAGTTTGACATAATTTTGTGGTTTGCCTTACTTTTTGAATTATAATTTTGATTTAATTCATGTTCATATGTTTGTTGGTTCTTGTTTCCCTGATTATAGATGAGGATACTATGTTGTCAACCGGGAGTATCACAAAATGTCAACTTCATTATTTATGTTTTTTTTACTGATTTATTGTTAATAAAATGTTAGATTGCCCAATTTGACCTTTGGTTGATGATAAGCAGACTCATATATGTCATCTTGCTGTTGCAACTTTCAGGTGGCACTAATCTAAAGAATATTGTGGAGCGTGTTCCTGGAACAAATCTGAACACAAGATATGGATTGGTAGAGGATGACACTGGGCACAACACAATTAGTGGCACCGCCGTGGAATGTGAGGTAGGTAGCACTTTCTGTTTTGTTTTGAGAGTTCATCTTATGATTAGGCATATGCTCTTTGGGACATATTCATATTGCACACTCTTTGGGACATATTCATATTGCACATATTTTAGTTTTGATTATTAGATACTAAAAAATGTTAGTCTGAACCATAGTTGTCACTATCTTATGAGACATGGTAAGATATTATGCATTCCATACATATTATAAGAGAACAATGATACGTATTGACGATATTTTTGTTGTTTCTTGCGATACATATAACATGCTTGAGGTTGTGGTTTTAAAACTAATCTAGACGAGAAAGTTTACCTTAAATCTTCTTCTTTTGGATGTGATTGAACTTTAGTTGTATGAAAATTTAGGAATGAAATTTTAGTTATTTTTTCCCCTGTAGTTTGAATGTACCTTGGTAGTTGGTACTATTATACTATTTATAACTTTTATATTTTAAGCAAACTACAACATAAGCTTTACCTTGTCATGCTACCTTGCCTTGCCCTTCACTGAAAGAATGCCATACCACCCTGAGGGATTCTGGCTATCTACTATTTAAAGTTCCTCAAGGAAAGCCTTCTGAACTCAATTGCATGTTGTTAAAAATGATCACGTTAATTAGGTGTCTTATTATTTTCATAATCATCACAAAATGTTGTAAATGTCTGAGAGTGATGTAAAATGTTAATGTTGGAAAACTGCTACTGTTTAATTGTTCATGACTTTATTCTAAAATTTCTTCTATCATAATGCAGGGCCGTGATGATGGATCTGCCCATTGCATGTTAGAAACTATATTTTCTCCCGCCTTTCATGTTTCTAAAGGTGTTGGGGAAATTGCCAATGGAGGTAGATGGTGAAATCAATATTTTTAATATAATGTTGTTATGTTTCCTTGGTAGCTACCCAAAAAAAAAAAAAAAGTTATGTTGGCTTGGCTTTTCTTGTGCCATATTACTTTAATTTGCTCACTCTTACTTTTATATCTATCCCCGATACTTTTTGTCCCAGTTGATTTCATCAAAATTTTCCAGAGAGGGGATGAGAAACTTCAGGATTTTGGAAAAGAGAATTCACAGATTGATATGGTAAACGGTAACGTTATGCAAGATTCTAGTGAGCCCACAATGACATTGATGAATGCGACATGCCCCGGTAATATGGGAGTTGTTACAAATATTTTATCCAAAGATTTAAATGGGCAGTAATGTGGCAGGACACTTCTCTCAGATAAAAATGCTTTGATTTCATGTTGTATTGCAGATTTTGGAGGTAACCTGTCATCTGAAGTTTCAGCTATATACCTTTCCATGAAAAGCTCAAAGTTGGAATGTGTTGATGAGCAAGATCAAGATCACATGTCTACTGATGTTTGCGTGGAGGATGTTGAATGTGAAGAATTTGATGACTTCGACCCATACTTCTTCATAAAGAATTTGCCAGACCTGTCATCAGTTGTCCCAACTTTTCGGCCCATGCTGCTACCTAAGCAGACGCGGAGTTGCCCTCCTACTACTCTTGTTTTGGACTTAGACGGTATGGATTTTAGAAGATACATGGTCTACTTGTATTGCCAATTTTTTATTTACTTTGGAAATGCTTTAGGGTATGAATTCTCTTCAAGTTGGTTTTTCATACATAATTTGTGTACATGTCTTTGAGTACATCCTGGTCTTTATGTTGACTATCATTGTTTTCCGGTGGACCAATTGGCATATGTGGGAACGAGTTAGCTAGAAAACAAAGCAGAGCAAGTGGTTCTTGATCTCTAAGGTTACAATTTTGTGTCGAATTGGAAATCAAAACCAATGCACATAAAAGTATAGTACCTACGCTTTATGCATGCAGATATGCCTTTTTTTAATTTTTTTTTAATATATGTAAAAGTACTTAATCACAATCTCTTTCTCTCTCACTCACACACACACATAAATATGTATATATACATGCATGTGTTGCATATAAATGTTGTATAAGAAGTGCAACTTATATTGGCTCTCCATCTCTAGTGCTTGCTTATACTCATGTATATTGTGACGTTGCCTTCTATCTGTTTATTGATGCTTGTATACATATAGGTTTGCATGGCTTGCACTGAAGGTGACTTGTTTTATTTGACAGAGACATTGGTGCACTCTACACTAGAACCGTGTAATGATGCAGATTTCTCCTTTCCTGTGAATTTTAACCTCAAAGATCATACAGTCTATGTTCGATGCCGTCCTCATCTCAAAGATTTCATGGAGAGGGTAGCAAGCCTTTTTGAGATTATTGTGTTTACTGCCAGTCAAAGCATTTATGCTGAGCAGCTTCTTAATGTGCTGGATCCGAAAAGGAGGGTATTTCGCCATCGTGTTTTTCGTGAATCATGTGTTTTTGTGGAAGGGAATTACCTCAAAGATCTGTCAGCTCTTGGCCGTGATTTAGCACATGTAATTATAATTGACAACTCTCCACAGGTACTGTTGCAGAATTCTGCCTTTTGCAGTCATTATCATACTTCTGTTTGGGTCTCTGTTTACTATTCTTCTATACTTTTTAATTTCACCCTTCTTCCCACTATTTGACACTCCTATAAATATAGCTTGGACTACATTATTAGTATTCTAAAATCCAGTAATTTGTTACTGTACTATGTATGTCTGATGATACTGTTGGAATAAATGTTGTTGATGAAAGCATCTTCTTTATTGTGTGGTAAAATAGGTTGCATGTGGCAAATTGTTAGTGTGACCTTTCTAGTCAATGGCTCAATTTTCCATGTCCTTTAGTAGCTGGAATTAGTTATGTTTGAGCTGATTGGGACACAAGGCTGAGTTTGGTTTGGTTTTGTTTGGCTGGAAGACTTGCAGTAGCATGTTGTTAGGAATCTGTAACACCTAACCAGGCTCGGTGAGACACAAAACATATAAAAAAATAAAACAAACAAAATCCAAGAATGATATTACATGTTCACACAATAAACACAAGGTTTATGTGGTTCATTCAAAACCTAGGGCTACGTCCACTGTTCTTGCGGTTTTTACTATGATTTGGAAGGATACAAGAGATTATAAAGACAGTCATAGCTGTGCCCCCTCAATTATAAATACTAAGAAATTAGGATAACATGTCACAAGTTGGGAAATACCAAAATTACCTGCGGTTAAGTGGCTACTGCCTAGTACTTACTAAGATTCACACTATCCCAACACATTAACATTGGAAATATGTCATCTATTATAAAATGCTACAAACTTGAGGTTACATGTCTCTTGTTTGCTTGTGCACTTTGATCTGCTGAATTTAGTAATGACATTTTGATCTCAGTTTCCTTAACAAGGATGGTGGTTTTGTTTTCAGGCATTTGGGTTCCAAGTGGACAATGGAATACCAATCGAGAGCTGGTTTGATGACCGTTCAGATCAAGAATTACTTTCACTACTCCCATTTCTGGAAAGCTTAGTTGGTGTTGAAGATGTTCGGCCATTGATTGCTAGAAAGTACAACCTCAGGGAGAAAATTGCTGCAGCTGTTTGTCCTTCAAACTCTAATGGAGGAGATCCTTTTGAAAGATAAGGTTATCAATTCAAGATTTTAGTGTTTGTGGGAATGCAGATTGGTTTTCCCATACCGAGACTTGAAACAATTATGTTCAACCAAGAAAATAGCAAGAAATGGTCATATGCTTATGATCATGTGTCCTCTGTTTGATGAACCTTTTCCAAAAAGAAAGTAACTGAAACACATGATGTATAATTTTCAGAATGAGGTTAGGAATCAGAATTCTGTTATTGTTACGGATGTGTATGGTGTTAACTTTGAAGATGGAGACTTGTTTTTAATTTTTTTATGGAGCACAAAATAATTGATAAGTTCATCTTTCATTATCAGCAATTATAATGATAATTACAATGAAAGTGTCATCAGCTGCAGTTATTTCATATTTGGTGGATTCAAACTTTTTCCTTCTATTGGGTATTAATTTAGTGTATGCTATGGAAGTTAATTACAAGCGCGTGTGCACACACACACACATATATATATTTATGCCAATAGATTCTATGTAAAAATGTAATAGATTGGGATTCGGATGCATGACCTTTCCACAGTTTTGACTAATTCATTGGAGACTAGAAGATCTGTTTCATCTCCTGTTCCAAACTAACCTTTTAGCACGACAGACTCATGTTGTAGAAGTGCTTTGGGACACGAGACAGATGAGAGACAAGATTACTTGTGAATTATTCATGGATCTCCACTGTCAATGTTGGGATCGTTTCAGGTTTGTTGTTCTTCATCCTTTTGCTGATTGTCCATGGTTCGGACATCGTCTCCACTGGTCTTTGTGATTGTGAAATCAAAGTATGATGGCTCAACTATCTGATTCATTGGTTGCAAATCAAACCGAACTAAATTAAGATTTGTGTTTCAATCATGTGGAGTTGGTTGCATGAATTTTTTCACCCTTCAATTTTATCAAGGGCTATGTGATCCATTGGTTCCATTATGCAAATGTGATAATGATATCCTATCTGTTGACGAGCCTAATTTCAATGGAAGATAATAAATTTTTTGCCTCAATTTTCCATTTCAACATTAGATTATTAGTGCGATTTTAAAGAGTTAACAAGCAAAGCTCTTCGATAATTTTGAACTCCAAAATAAATTACATTGTATATGGACGGGTCAAGAAATAGATTACTTAAATTTTATTTCAAAATGAAATGAATTTTAAAATTTATTTGACTTATTTATATAGTCAATCTCACGTAATTTTTAATTGAGTCAAGTTTAAATAGCCTAGTTTTTTTTTATAGTGCATGTAATCATGCCAAGATGAGTAGTAATTTATGTAAGTTTAATTTGAATTTTAATAAATTTTAAAATATATTTAAATTTAATTTATTTACATAATGAATTGATGTCAAATGAATTTTTAAGAAATCAAATACTCCCTCCGTCCCAAAATAATGGTTCCTTTTGGGGAATTCAACTTTTTTTGATAATACAATTATTGCATTTGAAAAAAGTTGATTTTCCAAAATTATCCTTTTGATAGTACATTTTTTGGGAATATCAATGTCATAATTGTACTTTTTATATTGTTTATTAATTTAAAAGAAGGGCAAAATAGGAAATTTATATTATTTTTGTACTTGATTTTTGAAGAGGGACAAATATTTTGGGACAATGAAAAATGAAATAAAAGACTAATATTTTGAGACGGATGGAATATAAATTTAGCCAGTTCAAAAAAAAAAAAGTCTGAATACCTGGTTCATTTTACAATATTATAATGAGAGTTTCTAAATAAATCTTTTTAATTTTTCTTTACACTTGTCACATTAAGAATTTTGTAGTTTAAAAAGAAAAATTGATAAACTTTTAAGGACATATGACATTGTTCCTAATGTTGTATTTGGTTGAGGGATTTAAGGAGGGATTTGAAAAGAGAAATGAAAAAGGTAGGTGAAATATGAAAAAACATGCCTACATTTCACATAGTTTCACACACCTTTTCCCTTTCCCTTTTCAGATCTTTCTCCAAATCCCCCAACTAAGCACAGCGCATGATCTTTCTCCAAATCCCCCAACCAAATACAGCGAAAATAAATAATGCGCATCGAAGTGAGAAAACGTGTGGGGAGCATCTATTTGCACACACTCAATCCTCTATTTGCACATCCTTCTTAATACACACCTAAAAAAATAAAAAATAAAATATTTACTTATTACACACACTCTTGTTCCAATTTTATCCCCCAATCCGCACACCTTCCGGACCTTCCAGACCGGTGACCACCACACACCTTTCAGACCGGCAACCACCTCGCCGGCGGAGACGCAACACCATCGTTTCCACCTCCCTTCCAGTTTCCATTCCCACTCCTTCCTCCACCCACCGTCGACATTACTGCGACGCCCACCCCATTCTCTCAATCTCTCTCTCTCTCCCCTCGCAGTCGCGAAAAGGGGCTGCAGCGGGGTGGAAGCTGAGGGTCGCGAAAAGGGGGCTGCCATTCCCATCATTTCCCAAATCTAGGTTCTCTTCTCTCTCTCTCTGTGCATAATTGAGGGTCGCGAAAGGGTAGAAGTTGCGACGGCAGTGGTGTTGTGTCCCGAAGTGAGGGATTACGGGGTGATGGGGAGGGTGAGTGAGCAAAAAACGATGGGGTGGGGTGGAGCTTCAATTCGAGAAGAAGGAGGCTGGAGGGAGGCGACGGAGGGAGGAAGGAGATGACCGGGGGAAGGCATTGTGTTGGGTATTAGGGTTAGAGTTAGTGTTAGGGTTTTGATTGGAGAAGAAAGAGATATTTTGATAATTTTATTTTAGGATAAAAATGTAATAAAAAAAATATCATTAAGTGTGTGAAGGGTAATTCTATTTACACACCATCATTATTCTCAATACACATCATTGTCCAAATTTTTTTAATTACCATTGTGCCCTTGAATGAAATTACCATTTTGGACAAAAATCCTAAAATCAAATCCACCAGCAGACTCCCCTCCGGCCACACCATCAACCAGCCACCGTCGACACCTTTCCCAGCCCCATCGTGCCAATTCCTCATTCTCTAACAACTCTCAATCTCCTCTCTCTCTCTCTCTTCTTATTCCAGCCTTCATCTTTGTTGCCTCTGTCTCTGCAACTCGCGCCTCCCTTCTCTGCCGTCGCCGCTGCCGCAGCAATTCACACATTCGTCTGAGATCTGAAAACCCTCGGCTTTTCTCTCTCTCTCTTTCTCTCTCTCTTTTTCTCTCTATACGGTGGACAAGAGTTGGGTTGCGATGGAGGGGGGTGGGGAGACAAATCGCGATGGCAATATAAAAGCGGGTGGTTCACAATGGTGGAGTCACCATTGTCTTGGTGGCTAGGGATGGCGATTGTAGTTGAGGGATCAAGAGAGGAAGGTTGGCGGCGGTGAGGAGGATGATGACAATGAACAACGGGGTTGGGAGAGAGGGCAACGACGAAGAGCAACAATGGTGATGGAGATTTGTTAGAAGAACATGAAGCTTTAAGGGGTTATTGGAAGTGATGGGCTAAAGAGGGGTGGCAGCCAGCATTCGGTGGTACGAGAAGGGTAGCAGGTTGGAGAGGAAGTGGTGGCCGGCGGTGATGGTGATGGTTAGGGTTAGTGTTAGGTTAGGGTTTAGGATGTAGAGTTGAAGAAGATGAGGTAATTTAAGATTTTTTAAAAAGTGATGGTGTGAAGTGAGAAGAAATCAAAAAATTGAAAATGTGTGTGGTGTATATTGAGAAAATGATGTGTACTAAAACATTTGATGGTGTGTAAATAGAATCACTCGTGTGTGAGGAGAGAGAAAGTGGTGTGTGCAAATAGAGGCTCCCAAACGTGTGGGGTGTAATGTAAATAGAAAGACCAAACTAACCCTCCTATTCGATGACCTAACTTCCCGATTGCGATTTGCATTGCTCAAATGGTCAAAGCCTCGCGCCTATATATAAACACTAACGCCTTCCACTCCCGCCAGCTTCTTCATTTGTACGAACTCGCTACAATTTCAAAAAGTTTCAAAATCAAGTGGGCTCTGAATTGCTCTCTCTCTCTCTCTCTCTCTCTCTCTCTCTCTCTCAGTTTCTCTGTGAAATCAGTAAACATGGTGAGATCAGAGAAATCTCTTCGAAGCATTCACTTCTTGTTCATCTTCACGCTTCCTTCTTTAACTTTTTTCTTATCCACTAATCTCACTGTAATTTTCTCGATTGATCAGGTTGTTTTGCAGAAAGTGAAGGAATCGGAGATCACCGAGCAGGACTCGCTTCTACTGGTACAGTTCAGCTTTTGATTTTCACTTACAGATGATCATAGCAACCTATATATAAATTTCATTGTCTACTTATCTTCATTTTTGCGGATCGAATTCTGGAATTATAATTTGAACTTATGGTTTTCTCATATTCAGAATCAGATCATTGCTTTGAATAAGTCAAAGTACGTTGAATTCGGATTCTGTTTTGTCCAGTAATTTATCTGTGTATTTTACTGTAACTCAAATCCGAATTTCACTTACAGATGATCATAGCAACCTATATATAAATTTCATTGTCTACTTATCTTCATTTTTGTGGATCGAATTCTGGAATTATAATTTGAACTTATGGTTTTCTCATATTCAGAATCAGATCATTGCTTTGAATAAGTCAAAGTACGTTGAATCCGGATTCTGTTTTGTCCAGTAATTTATCTGTGAATTTTACTGTAACTCAAATCCGAATTATGATCCAGAGAGTTTGAATCTGAAATGATTTATTTTCTACATTTAGAATTAATTTCTCTAGGGTTGCAACCTAGATATGAATTTCATTGTCTGCTTGTCTCCATTGTTTGCAGATCAAATTCTGCAATTCTAATTTGAATTTATGGTTTTCTCACATTCAGAATCAGATCATTGCAGTGCACAAATCACAGTAGATCGAATCTGAATTCTGTTTCTCCAGTAATTAATTGGTGAATTTTACTGTAATTCAAATGGCAATAATGATTCAGAGAGTTTGAATCTGAAATGATTTTCTTTCTTCTACATTTAGAAGTAAATCCTACAGTGCTGCAACAATCATTTAGTAAATAAACTGAGAAAAGTAAGATTGTTTACGAAGATTAAGTAATTAAATACTGATGCGTTGTTAATTTCAATGTGTTGATATGATATTGTAAAACGAGGACATTGAACAGCTATTGGTTGTTAATAACTCAATTGAACCTGAGTTTTACAATAAATGTTCATTGAGTTTGAATCTATACTTTTTCCTGTTGATTTTAAAAGAAACGGTGATATATTTTCTTTATTGATGCAATTTCTGTATGAAAAGATGATGACCAATTGCAAAATTATGATTTGCTGAGTTATTCTATTGATCTCATGTTCTGTAATTGTTTCACCTGAGCCAGACGAGGAACCTGCTACGCATTGCCATTTTTAATATTAGTTACATCAGAGGCCTTTTTCCTGAGAAGTATTTCAATGATAAGTCTGTTCCTGCCTTAGGTGAGCTTGTTGTCATTAGACATGCTTCTAATTTTCTTTTAAATTCAAATGCTCGTAGATAACTGTATTTGTATGATCACAAATCATGATCAGAAATGAAGATAAAGAAGCTTATGCCGATGGATGCAGAGTCACGGAGACTGATTGACTGGATGGAGAAAGGCATGTTGATTTTATTGACCCAATAAACTTGTCCCACTCAATGTTCTTACACTTTTCTTAATCCGTTTGTATTTCTTAATTTTTGTAGGTGTTTATGATGCACTGCAGAAGAAATATCTGAGGACACTCTTGTTCTGTGTTTGTGAAGCAGCAGAAGGTCCAATGATTGAGGAATATGCATGTAAGAGTCTGAGAATAAACTATACCTTGGATATCACTGACTTGATGTGTAATCTTGGATCACGGTGTTGAAGTGGTGTAGTGTCTGTGATTGATCATGACACGGTGTAGTTTGTTTTCCAAACATCCAACAAAATGGTTCACTTACATGTCTGCTTTGAAACTTGAGAAAAAATCATTTATGTTTATTGCTTCTACAGTCTAAGCAATAACCAACTATAATATGGCATAAGTTGGTGTGACAATGATTGATTTCCAGAATAACCACAACTATTAATGATTACTCTCCTTGGCAATGCCTGTCTAAATCTATTATTTGTGGTTTATTGTGCTTAGAGAATTCCTCTGGGGAACTATTATGATATTAAATGGATTTATATGTTTTCTCCTGCAGTTTCTTTCAGTTACTCGAATTCTAATAGCCAAGAGGTTTCAATGAACATCAATCGCACTGGAAACAAGAAGCAGGGAGGAACATTCAAGTGTAACTCCATGGTAGAAGTTACGCCCAATCAGATGAGGTACTTGATCCAAATAGTCCAGTTTATTGTTGGTTGAGTTCTGAATTTTCAAGTATATCTGCTGTTTGTGATACAAATTTACGATTTAGGAGTTCTGCTTGCAAAATGGTCCGTACACTGATTCAATTGATGAGAACTCTGGATAGAATGCCAGAAGAGGTAATATTTCCAGTGACTGAGAGTTGAGAGATACCACTTGGATGGCATCATGTATGCATTTTTCACTTTGATAAATAAAGTCCTTCAAACAATTTAAAAGCTTTGCTTTTGACTGTAAGATTTTTATTTGATTTGTGTTTCAGCGCACTATTGTGATGAAACTCCTCTACTATGATGATGTCACGGTATGCCTTTCACTTAATTAGATTTTTGTGTACATCATCTTTCAGTTCATTGGATATCCTTGATTTGCTAATCAAGGTATAGAAAACCCAAAATTTGATACTGTTCCCATGAAGAGGCTGAGGAAATAATTAATGCAACTCATAAGCACTAGTGTCTGCATATGATCTCCATAATTTTGCATCTTTTGTGGTTTGTTCTATTAGTTGTCCAATGATATTATCTAATTATAAATTATCTTCATGCTGTTAGAATTGTGTTCTTTTTAAACTGTAGCTTTGTTGGAATGAGAAATTCTGGTAAAGATAAGGGCATTTGAATCTTACAGATGTTGGGTGTTTTGGCTTGTCACTATCCCAATAAAGCATCTAAAAATCCTTCTCCTCTCCCTGTATTATTTGACCACAGAAAAGTATAGTCACTCACACATTGATCTTGCAGCCTGTGGATTACGAGCCTCCATTCTTCAGAAGCTGCTCAGAACAAGAAGCTCATAATCCATGGAAGAAAAATCCTCTGAAAATGGAGGTTGGGAATGTCAACAGCAAGCATTTTGTATTAGCTCTCAAGGTAAGGATAGAATATTGCAGGAACACTTGGTCCCTTGTTCGAAAATTTTAAGTTAATGTTTGTAACTGGGAATTTGTGCAGGTTAAGAGCGTGCTCGATCCTTGTGAGGATGAAAATGTTGACATTCAAGATGATGCTGTGAGCTTGGGGGCTGATTCTGTACAAAGGGAGTGTTCTGAATCTGACAGTGAGGTGACAAGTTAACATTACATTTGTTTTTGGTTCTCAATGAGCTAAAATACATGCTATAAACTTCATTTACCATACAGCAAAAATGCTTAATAAACCAATTGTCAAAATTTGTAACTCATTTCAGGTTGGCCTTTCGGAAGATGACCAATACATAGTTGCACCGATAGGTAATTATGTGCTTTTCTGTTTGGCTGTTCAGCTTGTTTACACGTTACTTGTTTTCAGTAGTTTTTCAAGTTTGAACTGTGAATAACAAATGGTTTTTTTGATAGATAATCAACGGGCTAATGAAAATGGTGGGATGGTTGATGAAGGTAATTTCTGTTAGAAATATTATAGTTCTGTATGAGAAAAAATTCAGGGCATATCATAATCTATATTATAATATCCAATGTGCAGATGATACTCAAGATCCAGCAGAAGATGAACAACAATTAGATCGGGTAAAGGACTGGATCAGCTGTTATCACCTTGACACTATTGAACTCACCAATGTTCTCTCAAATTTCGCCGACACCTCATTGGTAAAGACCTTTACTTTTACCTGGTTAAGTGGTGTTAAAGATGAATGTTGGTTCAACTGACTATATTCAATTTATTTTGAATTTGACAGTTTCTTAATTTTGTAATGTTATGATATTGGTATGCAACTTTATGGTTGCAGGTTTTGATTGAAGGTAAATGGGGATCTGACACATGTTGAAACTTGTAAAAGAAGTCATCCAATCCTGCACGGTTGCACATTCTAAGCTGTAAAATAATTTGAAACTTTTATTTTTGTAACTGGTTTTCAGAAATTATGGACAAGCTAGTTAAGGAAGGTATTCTATCTAAGAGCGGAACAGACAGTTACACGATTAACAAGCAAAAGGTAGTTCATTTCTTTTCATTCAGTTTGAATTTTGTGTCTTTGTGTTATTGTAGTCTTAAGTGTTTGTTTTTTTTTTGGGTAACAAAACCACACTTGTAGAAATTCGACTATGATTTCAATCCTATAAAGGAAGAAATGGATGGCCAAGTTGTCCCAGGCAAGAAAGCCCAGCATGATATTGGTGAAGATCACATGTACATGAAGGCAAGTGTAATAATTTTTTTTTCTTTTTAATGGAATCAGTTTTAGGTCTCTAAGCTGACTTATTTGTTTAAGCAGTTCGTCTCCTTACAAAAAATGTCACACTGATTACATTCCACATTTTCTCCCTCTCCTATTTTTTGGTTTTTATTTACTTTTAAGTTCTTATTTGCTGGGAATCTTAGAGCTACCTGGGCCCTTTTTCCCCTCATTGTTCTTAACCATTTTGCACTATGTAGAGAAATTATGACCAAGAATTTAGAGATACCTGCTTATAAGTGAACCTACTAATCTTATAGTTTATTTTCTAAAAATTTTGCAATTAACTTCAGTATCAAAAAATAATAGCAGTGGCATAAAGAATGAGATATAGAAAGTAAGTTCATCAGATGTTATCATCCAGGTTTCTTTTGGGTGATCAAAAACAGAGTCCACTACACCCTACCAATGGATAGATACAGATGTGATGTGAACTTCCTGCATTGTGTAACTATTATGAATGCTCTAATTGCAGGCTTTGTATCATGCTCTTCCGATGAGCTACGTTACTGTTGCAAAGCTTCAGAGCAAGCTTGATGGAGAAATCAACCAGACTACTGTGCGCAAGCTAATTGATAAAATGATCCATGATGGGTTTCTTGATGCCAAAGGCAGCAGGAAGCTAGGTGCGTGTATTTTCGTGTCAATCTTAGGCATATTTTGGTAAAATTGTTGTTATAAACTTTTTTCCATTTATTGTCACAGGCAAGCGCGTGATCCACTCTGATCTAACTGAGAAAAAGCTAATGGAAATCAAGAAAACTATGGATATTGATGCCATGGTGATTATTAAACCTTCCTTGGTTGCATGCATCTGGAAATACTAGTGTTGACCTATTGGAACTCTATTAAATTAAACAGGATGGGGATATTAATGAGCACAAGTCCAGCCATGCTGAGTTTCAGAAAATGGGTAAGTGATCAGAATACTTATATACTAATGCTTTATTGTCTTGTAGTTTAGTTTCCCTATTTTGCAACAAACAGTTGAAATAAAGTTAGCTTTTCTACAATCCAGGAAGCATCAACAGGGATATGTCCACCTGTGGTGTTTTCCATTCCATTGGATCAGACCTCACACGCACAAGAGGCAGGTCCGTAGCACATCAAAATGGCTCTATAAGAAGTGAGCAGACTGTTTCAAGGGCAAGGGATCATGGAAACACCCCCACAAGCCGGGCTGAGGTTAGCCTGTCTGGTCATGAATTGCATGCTCTGTTTTTTTTGGCAGAAATATTTTCTTACATAAAACATATTTTTATAGCAAACGTTTTCTTATATTTGGCTATGACCTTAAAACTTAGTGATATGTTGGTGATGGTGGTGTAGCAGCGGCTCAAGGTTCTTTGAGATGTTAGGCTAAACATTAAAACGAGACATTATCTTATTAGATCTTTAAAAAATCGTTATTGGGCCTTCAGCAACAATTTTTTAAAAATAATTTTGGGGCTTAGGTAACAAGCTAAGTGGCTTAATGGTCGAGGTACCTTTGGTTGGTGTTGGTGGTGGTAACGGTGGTTTTGGAAAATGTTTTTCACTTTTCAAAAGTAAAAAATATTTTTTGTCTAAATAATCGTGTTTTTAGTTGACTTTGAAAAACGTTTTTTTGTCATACCAATTGCCAAAAAAATACAGAAAACGTACAATCAACTCATGTTACTCAAAAGTTTGACGGAAGTGTGATGGGTAATGTGTTGTGATTTTTGTGCAGCCAGTAGCTTCCAGAGAGAGTTTTGTACCAGGGAATGAGAATGCCAGAGCAAATGGAAATGCCGATCACTTCGATGGGGTTGACACAGGTATCTGCAGTATGTCCACCCAGGACAAGCGGTCCAGGAAAGCAAGCACGGTATGACTCTTCAGAATAATAAAGAGTCATAAGACTTTCTAAAATTGTTCTGTTCATGATTTTCTTCCCTTTTACAGGTTAAGGAGCCTATCCTTCAGTACATGAAGCGCCAGAAATCTCAAGCTCTCTGAAATGCTTTGGGGTATGGTATGCCATCGTGACCATTCCCTAATCATTTTTTGAGTTCTGTTTCCACTACTAGTTGAATATGCAGAAACATTTTCTACATTCTTCCCTTTCTGGTTCTATACCTCTTTTTTTTTTTTTTTTTGGTTATTAATTAGAGAAAATGTTAGAATCATGACAAATGAAAAAGGATCATCAAATTTTCACATTTTATAGGGAGACATGAATAATAATGAAAAAATTAATAGAGGTTGTGGTGCGGAAAGGCCTGACATGGTTTGGAGAATGAATAATTTTAGAGATACTAAAAACTATAGCAACAAATATATGAACTCGACACATTAATTACGCTGTGTTTGATTGGGAGATTTAGAAAAAAAAAAAGTATGTAAAATTAAGTAAAATATAGATATATTTATTAACATTTCATTTATCTTTTTTTTTTTCCTTTTCAAATATACATCGTTAGTGTTTTAAGCATTTGTGTTGTAGAATTAGTGTCTGGGAAGTCAATAAAGCTCCTAAGCAAATGTGTTATTTTTGGTTCAAACTTTACCAAGGTTGATGGAGTTTTGAGGCCATTTTGTTGGGAAAATTCTATTTCCACACACTTACTTACCTCTGTGTACATACTTAATGATTTATTTTTTTATTACAATTTTCTTTTAAAATAAAATTACTAAAGTGTCCTTATCTTTTCCATCAAAACCATAATTTCTTCATCTCCTCTAATAGGCCTATTTGGTAGGGCTTATAAGTTGTTTATTTCAGCTTTTAAGTTAATTTAAGTTAAAATATTATATTTGGTACAGTTTAAGTTAACTAGCTTATCTTAAAAGCTGGTTAAGGGGTGCTTAAATTTTCAACTTAGGCCCTGTTTGGTACAGCTTTTTTTCAGCTTATTTCAGCTTTCAACTTAATTTAAGCTATTTTGATGTGTTTGATTTAGCTTAACAATGCAGCTTATAGCTTTTTATAAGTCAGAAATCAGCTTATTCTTTGAGTGGGGCAGAACAAGCTTATTTTATAAGTCAGAAATCAACTTATGTTCATAGTTATAAGCTATTAAGCTGTTAAGGCATAAGCTATAAGTACTTTCCCACAGCTATAAGCTATAAACACTTTTCCACAGCTCTACCAAATAGGGCCTTAAGCACGCAGTTGGTGTGGAAGGCTAAAATTACTTAAATGTCCTCATTAATACCTAAATATTAATATTAATTAAAAAAGAAAAAATTGTATATTTTTGAAGAAAAAGAAAAAAATCAATATTAATTAAAAAAATAAATATTAATTGGTATTAATTACTAATAAATTCATATTGTATATTTTTATATTAATTAAAAAATAAAAAATTGTATATTTTTGAAGAAAAAGAAAAAAAAATCTATAGCGATCCCAATTTTCCCTTCATTGTTTAATGGTATTTCAGACTCGGTTCCGTGGATGTGTTGTTGTATTTTTGAGGAAAAAGAAAAAAATCAATATTAATTAAAAAATCAATATTAATTGGTATTAATTATTAATAAATTAAATTGCATACTTTTGTAATGAATTAATTATTAATTGATACTAATTAACAACAATTGTTGATTATTAATATTAATTTATACTAATTAATAATTTTAGTATTAATTGAGACTAATTAAGTCATTAATTGATACTAATTAATAATTTTAGTATTAATTGATACTAATTAAGCAATTAATTGATACTAATTAATTTATAATGGAAAAAATTGTAACAATAATATTTCCATTACATTTTTATCAAATGTACCAATATTTATATTAATTGATATTAATTAATACTAATTATATTAACTTTTATTAATGAAATAATTTTTTTAAAATTAAAATTGAAAAAATGACAAAATAATCATTTTTATATCATAAAAGGGTAGAAATGACAATTATACAGTAAAAAGTTATTTTACAGCTTATTAACCAAATATTATTTTACTACTTAAATCTATAATTTCATAGCTGTACCAAACAGGTTAACAGCTTATATTCATAGCTATAAGTCATAATCTGTTACGTTATAATCTATAATCATTTTTTTACAGTTCTATCAAACGAGACCAATAGCCAGCTGCAGATTTTCTTCATAACAAACACTAGTTTACTCTCTACCATAGTAACTACCGCTATCGCTATATTTTCTCAAGACAACTTGCAACCAACACTCCTGTCCACTGTAACCATTGTAATTCAAATCCAATCTCTAATTTTGTCAATTAATGTTTCACTTCAATCAATACATGCATACATGTGTCTGTATTGGTGTATGTATATTATGACTGCTGTGCCACCACACCATTCTTGGCCTCGCCACCAAACACCATTGTTTTACCAAATCAAAAAAGCAAACTCCTTAATTAGATCTTAAATCAAATATATGGATATAACCAAACCAGTCAGATCTTTGCGTAAAGAGATAGATATTTTTGACAAAAAGGATTGTGTATTGCGTAAAATTAGAAAATTTAAAATTAAATGGTATGTGTATTGAGAGGATGTAAAATGAGATGTTTTAGTGTGTAGAAATAGAATTATCCATTTTATTGTTCTCACACGAAATCTGTTTTGGCAAAAGTCAAGATTACCCTAGTAATACGGCCATCCTAAATTTATTGAGGTTGAACTTGAAATTCAATTATTTACCATTAGTGTTCCGTTCGTGCTATGTATAAGTTGTGTTTATAATTATTTATATATATGTAAATTGTGATTTTTAATTTTTTTTTACACATAGAAAAATAAATATAACAAATGTAGTATATTTTCAATCAATTATTTTATGTTTTCTTTTATTCAAAATTTAATGTACTTGTAAAATTTATAACTAAATTAACGAAAAATTTATTTCTAACAACATTTCTTTTGCTTCTATATAAATACTTCAAAAATAAATCTAAAAAAGATAGCCAATATAAATATTATACATTAAGTAAAAAAATGTGGTTAACAATTATGTTTATATAAATTATGTTTCAAGCATTTTATTTAGCAAGTATCAAATAGAATTTTCTTAGCGAAAAGAAAAGTTATAAAATTTTGTTGTAAATTTTCAAATGTCTATTGTTAAATATTCTATTATACTTGCTTGTTTATTTACTTGTTTTAGGAGTTTTGATAATCTTTGCTTCACATTCATCTTATTGTTTTATTTATTTTTCTTCTTCTTACTTAATTTTCGTATAATACTTCTTTCATAATGCATCTTCGAGTGTATTAGTGAAAATAGCATAGACTTAAATGCACAAAATTACAATATATAGAAAAAAAGTAAGCAATTGTCCAAAACTAAAATTACTTTAAGAAAAAAATAAAAAATAAAAAATGAAATAAAAATGAAATTGTTTGAAATAGAAAATGATTTATTTATTAATTTTTTAAAATAAACTTTTAAAGAAAACTATATAAAAAAAAGTATAGAAACTAAACATAAAATATAATACAATAAATAAATAAATTATAGGATTTTTAAAAAGTAAGACTCACAAACAAATTTTGTAAAATCTTGCCTATTTATATACTTTTTGTGTGTATTTTTTGTATTTTTAATCCCGAGAATGACATTGAAATAGTTTGCACTTCTTGCATTAGGTCTATCTAATAGTTTTAGCAAACATATTTATAATAAATTTTATAACACAACACAAATAATTGTGAGATAAAGTATCAAAAAAATAAAATAAAATGAAAGTAACGTTCAATGATGATATAGAAGCACATTTGACGTTTTAATTAGAGGTATAATTAGATAAATCGCTATAGAAGAGGAAGATAATCTTTATTTTTCATCACAACAATTACATAACTCAATATATAATTTTAATGTCTCTCACTTTTTTACATGTTTAATTCTCTATCAATATTAGCATGAATGCATGAATAAAAAAATGAACATTTGAGAAGAGAAGGAGATATGTATTGAGACATTTCAATTGCTAAATTTTATTAATTAATAGTCATTAGGTTTCAATAGTTGGGCTTTTGGTTTCACCTATATTCATTTGATAATTTAAGAATGGTCATGTGTCAAGTTTTTACACAAATAGTTGTTACATTTTTTGAGCATTATTAATGAAATGCACGGTGTAAATTTTTTTTTTTGCAATTGTAATCTATTATTTTTTTAATAAGAATTTATATTTGTTTTATATATTTTTTTAATATACAAATTATTTTTTACAATGAAATTTTTTCTTCTTTTTAGCAATTGCAATTTGTTATTTTTTTTAATAAGAATTTATATTTGTTTTAGATTTTTTTAATATATAAATTATTTTTTTAGATTTTAATTGAATGTACAGTGTAATTTTTTTTTTCCACAATTGCAACATATTATTTTTTAATAAGAATTTATATTTGTTTTAGATTTTTTTAATATACAAATTATTTTTTACTGTGTAATTTTTTTCTTTTTTTTTTCCGCAATTGCAACATGTTATTTTTTAATAAGAATTTATATTTATTTTTTAATCATAGTGTATGGGAGAAGTCAAAATGACTTGTGGGTTTGAAGAAGTCAATAAATATTGAGGTTTTTTTTTTAAATTAAAAAATTAAAAAATTAAGATTGGGATATTGAACCTCCTACAAGACTTACGAGTTAGAAATCTCATTTTTCTTATATAATATATAGATTGGCTGTTGCTTTTTATACTTTACATTTGAATCTTGAGTTTATAAACAAAATATAAGTTATTTTTTCTCCACTTTTAAACTTGACTGGAAAACTCAATTAGTGTATTTGGTTTGAGTTTTTTGAATTAAATTTTTTGAAAATTAAGTTTTTTGGTTTTCGTGTTTTTTTGTTTTTAGTGAATATTTTTTAAATTTAATTTATTTTTTATTTTTTATATGTACCTTACTTAGATGTATCTAAAAAGTAAAAAAATTATGAAAAAATATTTTAAAAAATTAATAAATACGTAAAAATATAAAAAATGTATTGAATTCTCGTATTTTTTTTTTGTATTTTGGGTATTTAGTGAATTTTTAAAAGGTTTTCTTTATAATTTTTTTACTTTTTAGATACATCTAAGTTAGGTATGTCTAAAAATTTAAAAAATTGCTTAAAATATTAAAAAAAATCAATAAAAACAAAAATACACGAAAAATAAAAAAGTAGAATTTTTTGAAAAGTATTTTTTGAAAAGTGAAACCAAGCATATGAGTTTAAAATTATTTTCAAGCTCGACTTATGTACTTTTTGAGTTCATTTTAAATGAGGTTTAATCGAGTCGATCACGAGTAATTTGATTTTTGTATAATATATAAAATTGAGTCGAGTTGTAGATTGTGTTTCATTTCAAAAATTAACAAGTTTTAAATGTGTTAAAATTTTAACTTATTCACATAATAAATTAATTTCAAATGAATTTTTAACAAGATGACAATGACTCGACATCGAATAACTTGTTTGATTTTATAACCTTACGTATTAGTGAACTCAAAGTCAGCCAAGGAACTAATTCTTGGTTGTAAGATAAAATTCTTTACACTAAAGTCTGATTTTAATGAGTGCAAGTTGACATAGAATGAGCAGCACATGGTTCTTTCACATGCATTAGAGGATAGCTTGATTGAGGGGGAAAAAATCTATCACCCATAGGGGGGTTATTTCTTGTGAAAATGGATTTGTTACATAGTGACAACACATTGCTACATTTTCTCAAGTTTGACAGTGGAACAACTTGGAGGGAAGGTAAGTCTAGAAGAGGGTTGACTTGATTATTAAACTAAAAAACAAAGTCTGAGCATTCATTTTTCATTCTAGATAGCCGTCGCTAAATTAAATACGCAACGGCACATAATCTTTTAAAATCATACATGATAACAAAAAAAACTCTTTTTTAAATCATAATTGTGACAAGTAGAATAATAAGATAGAGACAATTAAAGTTAACAAGAAAAGTAAGTATATTTTTTTATTTGTATAACTTTGTTAAAAAACATAGTACAATATAATAAATCAATTAATTTTATTGTTCAATTGTCAAGAGGTTAAAATGTTCAGCAAACTTTGTCATTTTAACTAGTTTCTCTCTCATTTTAGTTCAGCAATTGACAAACTTGCAATAATTTTTACTAACTACATTTAGAGAATCTTGAAAGTTGTTGTAGATTATATATATGGATGATGATGCGGTTTGCCAAATACCAAATTTTGGTTGGGTATAAGTATCATTTTTATGTTAAAACTTCCACAATTAGTTTGCACAACTGGTTAAAATAAAGAGTAGTGGTTAGAGTAGTAACAAAAAAGAAAAAAAGGTTCTCTATTTTAGATAATATAGTTTGTATGGTAAATTATATTGACTTTCTCTTAAATTAGAAAAAATATAATAAGTTGCACTAGTTTGGCATAATTATATTAGGTTCCTTTAAAATTTTAATTTATATAACAATTGGTCTTTTTTTCATTAAAAATTCATTAGTTGAATGAATAAAAAGATTATCTTGTCGTATTTTTTACATTGAAATATTTATTTTACCTTGTGTATCTTTGTGTCTTCATATTATTTGCATTAATTTTGAAAATTTTAACCTTACTAAAAAAGAAATTAGTATAATTATATTAAAAATCTTGTGCGCTTCAGTATAAGAAATTGAAAGCGATTCTACTTAATAAAATGAAAATGACAACATTTGTGAAGCACTCTCTTTATGCCCCATTTCTGTGTTCTACTTTTCCTGTTCCCCTCAAATTTTTCTCCTTTTTTCTATAGTGGAGAATCAAATAAACTATTATGCTCCATTTGTTCACTCAAAAAACAAAGAGAGAATATACAAAATACTCTCAATCTATGCAGTGCCAACTGCAAGATTCCATGTTCTCACTTTTTTTTAAAACCATAATTTCCATAGTACCTCCAACCAAAAAAGACATGAAAACTTAAATTTTTTTTTTTAATATATTTTTTCAAAAACAATATGTAGGTGGAGAATATGAGAAAATGAAATGAAGTCAAATTAAGCAACAGTAATAATGGAACCTGAACATTACATTTGGTAAGAGAACATTTTATTCATTGGATCATTTTTTATCTCAAACTAGAACTTCAATTGATCATATGTATAATGGTCCTAAACTTACAGAGTCCACAACTGCAGGCTCAAACATCTTTTGTGTAACCCCACAATTTATTTTCTTTTCACATTCATCTCTTATGTGGAAAACAAGAGCTAGAATGCAAATGAGTATACCCCATCCTATCCAACTTAGGGCATTGTGATCATGGGTTGACAATTCTCAAACCACATTAGCTGTGAAAACCCAACTAATGGCTTCAAACGGACTGGGCTCTAGATCACCTATCTCCTAGCCTACTGTTTTTGGGCTACAAAGAAAATAATATTCATCACCGTTATATTATTTTTTATTTGTATTTATACAATAAGCATTATGTATATGTGAAAGACTGTCACATTTAAAAAAAATAAAAAAATTAAGACTCACCATAACTCATGAAAAACTACATAAAAGATAAATAATTCATGTAAAATATTGTATTGATATGTACAGATGCCCTTGCTAAAATATTAACATAGGGAATAACTGCACTCCCACCATTGAGATGCCTTTTTGCAAAAACAAACATAGTTTTTTATTTTATTATATTATGTTTTTATTTTATCTTTCCTTTTTATTTTTTTTATTGGGTTCCAGATGGGGCATAAAGATCCCCCAAACACCTACATCCTCCACTTGCATATTGCATTCCTTCCCCTCCTTTTAATCCAATCTTTTTCATCTTTTTCCTTGGTCAATTCATCTCCTACTCTGTCACACACTTTTTGACCACCAAATAAAAAGGCAAAGCACCAAAAAACAGAAAAGAAAAGTTGTGAATATAGTGATGATGAAAAATGACCTAGGATCCCTTCTGTTGCCTATATTATACCTTTCCCATTCACTTGTCCCACAACTGAAACTAGCCTCGCTGAAATGAGAGAGAGGAGTTAATATAAACTGTTGTGTTTTGAATTTTGAACTTCTACTTTATTTTACATTGAAGAATGATACCTTCCCTTTACCCTGAAGTTAAGCCACATCTTGGCTCTAGAAAATGTGGTTGGTTATTCATCCCATCCCATCCCATCCCATCCCATTACCTAATTTTGTGTTTAGTTGTTGAAAATGTTTTGTTCTGAAAACTATTTCGTGAGAAAAATGAAATAAACCAAAAAATTTAACAAATTAAAGATTTGAGAGAAATTTTCTTGTTTTATTCCATATTTTGTATCCCATTCATTATTAAAAAGATCTTATCCTGAGCAAGTTATTAAGAATGTCATATAATGATCGTGAGTTCATCACCCCCATCTCATGTGATGATTTCAAATCTAACCCACACTTCCAAAATTGTTTTTTATTTTTAAAAGGTCTAAAAAATGAGGAGTCCAAATTTAAAAACAAAAAGCATAATAAAATAAAGGGCAAATTACAAACACCTCCTCGAGATTTGGTAAAAATACAGATTCCCCTGAGGTTTGAGAAATTATAAATTGCCCCTGAGTGTCAAATTTTCATAACAAATTAAGGGAAATTAAAGGGGAAATCTGTATGAAAATAAAAATCACAGGGGGCAATTTGTTATGGAAATATAAACCTCAGGGGGTAGGATGCAATTTCTCAAACCTCAGGGGGAAATCTGTATTTTCACCAAACCTCGAGGGGGTGTTTTTAATTTGCCCTAAAATAAAGTAGGAAAAAAGACATCAAAGGAATAAAATGAAACAGAAATATTTGAAATAAAGGAAATTACTCTTTAAATTAGGGAAATTGCAAGGCAGCTAAAAAGCTCTATTGTACCCCAAAAAAAGAAAAAGAAAAAGAAAAAACCCTCACAGAACTTTCTAAAATTACCTCTTCCTCTATACAGATAAAGCGACCACCATAAAATTACTGAATTGAACATTCCACCAAAAATGGCCGCAAAACTTTCCTCTTTCTCTCTCCTCATTTTTTTCTAAGACTCAAGTGCCGTTACCGTCACAGTCACAGTCCTCGTTACAGTTAACTCTCAGCCATGGCATCAGCATTATTGCCATTCCCACCGTTAACATTTCCATTTCCGTTACCGTTACCGTTACCGTTACCGTCATGCTCTCCATCTTCGTCGACCCACCTCTCTATGGGTGCGCACTCCGCCTTATGGCGCATCTTCCAATCGAGCGCCTGACACGCTCGAGAGCAATAATTCACTGCTCCGCAGACCGAGCACCGGCGAAACTCGTGCCTCCTCGTCTCGGGTCGCCCACACCCGACGTGAGAACACATCCGGAGCCCCGCACCCGGAGCCCCGCACCGAACCTCGAACCAGTCCGTCATGAACCGACTCGCCGGGTGAGGCTCCGGCGCCGGCACGTTGCAGCCGAAATCGCTGAGCAACGGACAGCCACCGCTCGAGCCGCCGTGGGCGTGGCCGTGGCGGAGGTGAGGAAGCGGGTTCCACGTCAGCCACGAGCCGGATGTTATGGCGGAGGCCGGCATGGAGAGCACGGCGGCTAGCTCGCGAGCGTTGGCTTGGACGAGGAATCGGCGGCCCTCGACGATGTTCTGGCGCACGCCGTAACCGTCTTGGAGGCAGTGACCGAGCTCGCGCAGCCCGTCGATGTGGCCGAGAAAGGCGGCGCGTGCGCATAGAGCAACTCCGGCGCGGAGGTCCTTGTCGTTTTTAGAACCACCACTGCCGTTGAACTGAATCACCGCCAGTGAGTACAGTGCCGGCGCGTGAGAGTTAATCGCCGCCTTCGCCATTAACGAAGCTCCGGTGCCTCGGTTTTGCAAACAGTAGAATCGAATCTGTAGACAAACATAATTATGAGTCTCCCAATTAATTCATTCATGAAAATGACAACTAGAATGTTGAATGTTGGAATGGTTGATTTGTATTAAAAAATAAATAAATATATATATATGTACTGACCATGCCGAGAGTGTAGCAGGCTTCAACGTTTCCTGATTCGGCACACTGTTTCAGGAATCGGTGAGCGGACTCGGACCAGTTCTTAGCTTTAACGGCAAGCATTTTTGTAGAAGCTTTGGATAGTACCATGGAATGGAGTCCTAAAGCGTTTAATCTCTTGCATCTGTTTTTTTTTTTTTCATACAATCCACAACAACCAAAATCAAAATTCAATTTTCAATCCAAATGTTACAGAAAACGAAAAAGTCGTTTTTTCTTTTTGGAATGAAAATTCTTTCTGATTCAAATTGGGGAGAAAATAAGGAAAAGCAAATTGCTAATATGATGGGAGAGTTTGACATACGTAATGAGAACGTTGATGAAATCTGCAGGAGAATCGGCGGAGGAGCTAAGTTTGGAGAGAATAAAAACGACGAGATCATCAGGCAACTCGTCGAACAAATCACAGTCTCTGGCAATCTCCGGCGAATTCTTCCAACGTTTCCGGCTAATTCTCCGTGGTTCATCTCTTCTTCTCTTCACTGTTGTTCTTTCCCAACAACACATCTCCAATTTCGGATAACAAATCCCCCTCCTCGTTCTCATCCCTCTCTCTCTCTCTGTGTCTCAGTATGTATCTATAGACAGACAGATTGAAGAAGAGAAAGCAAAGTGTGTGTGGGCTTATATAAGAGGCTTTGTTTGTTTGTGTTGTTTCAAACAGAGACAGCAACAACAACAGCAAAGACAGAGCCGAACCAACGTCATACAAAATTGCCCCAAGAGGTTCCACTTATTTACCAAACTTGTCCCTGACCACCCCAACTTGGTCAATTAGGCCGTCGACGGTAGCTTTCTGGGTTACTGTATAAATAATCTCTCTCTCTCTCTCTCCCTCCCTCCTCGAATCGAACACAGAAATTAGGGAGAGATACGTACATATATATACACAACCCAAACCTACTCTTCTCTTCCTTTTTATTTTGTCTCTCTAGAATTTGCTTGGGTTTGTTTTGTAAAGCAGTTAATTTTTTGTTGTAAAGGAAGGAACTAACCACGGTTAATTTGTTTTAAAAGGCAGTTAATGTTGTTGTAACTAAGAAACTAACCACGGTTAATATCGAGAACAAACTGAACAGACTTAACTAATTACTACTAATTACCGCGCCCGGCTAATAACTCTGTTAGAAGTTTGTTTGACCCAACTGTTTCTGTTTCTGTGTGTTTTTAGTTTATTATAACTGTATTGGTCTTATTTGGATACAGGCTAATTTAATAATTTTTTTACTATTTAATTAAAATATAAATTAAAAAAATTAGTATGTCTGAAATAATTTTTGAATTTTTTATGAAAAGATATACAAAAAATAAAGAGAAAAGAAAATTTTTGACTTTTTGATATGAATTGTTGGCTTTTTAATTTTTTTTAGTGACTTTTTGACTAACACTTACCAAACGAGGCCTGGGTTTTTTAAAATTTTAATTCATATACAATTTAACATTTTATTAAGTAATTTGTTAATTGTATGAATAAGAAAATAATAGTGTCATTATTTTTACGTTCAAATATATATTATAATTTTGTTTATTTGATGTATTTATACACTATTTGCATTGATTTTAATTATTCGAAAATTATTAGAAAAACAAGTAAGTGTTATTATGTTAAATTTATAGAATTTGTTGTAATTTTTTTTTAAAAAAAAAAATCTCTAGAATGGTCATTGTAATTAAAGTTAAAAATGTACAAGAAATAAATTTATTTTTTGTTAATCAAATTATTGATGGAAAAGTGTAACAAAATTAAACTTCATGTATCATTCTTATCCACATGATCATTTAACTTTTAGTTTTTTTCTAATACATAAAAAAAAATTTAGTTGAAAATATTGGGTCTTTGTATCACATCTTAAAATGATAAATACTAAATAGTGTCTTTGAACATTGGTTAATATTCAAATTAAGTAAAAAAGTTATTTGAAAATATATAAAAATGTTAAAAGGCTTTTGCTAACAAGTATTCTTAAGATATAAGAAAAAGAGAAAAAAAATTTAAGAAAAACTTATTTTGAAACTTGACTTTTAGGCTAAAAAATTTAATTAAAAAAAACTAAAAAATAAAAAAATAAAAAAAATGACAAATTAATTTTTTTTATATAATTAAAAAATGATTTTCAAATATATTAATTTTTATCCCCTCATTAAAAAGTTAATTTTTTTTTTTAAAGTCACTATAAAAAAATTAAATTTTAAACTATAAAAAAAAGAAAGTAGTTGGGTGGCACGCGCTATGAGTTGGCGTGAGGGAAAGGGGTGCATCAAGAAACAAATTCAGGTAGCGAATTTTAGGCGCTCGTCGACGAACAAACGCCACGGAAGGTCAAACGGATGATTCAGCACTAACTCGGGTTCAGTTTCTCTCTTTTGTTTGTTTTTACTTTGCCCCTTTGTTTTTTCTTCATTTTCTTTTCCTTTTTTACCCCTGCCTTCGTTTTTGTTTTGTGTTTTGTGTTTACTTTGTTTTGTTAGCCTCTGTTTCGGAAGATGGTTGGGTTGGGTTCGATTTGGAGCTCTTTTGATTATAAAAAGGGCAAATTACATATACACCCCTCGAGGTTTGGCTAAATTACAGATACACTCCTGAGGTTTCGGAAATTACATCCCGCCCCCTGAGGTTTAAGGTGGAATAAATTTTTTAATTTAATAAGATAAAATATCATATTTAACTTATAATTATTATATTTATTTTTATAAGAGTCAAAAAAATTAAAAAGTCATTTTCAAAAGAGACTTTTTAACCCTAAACTAAAATAATCAAAAAGTCAAAAAGTCAACCCACTTCTCAAACAAACTCATAGTTTCCATAACCTCCTCTCTTCTGTCCAACATAAGAAAGGGTAATGTTAGAGATACTAAATTTTCTATTAAATAAATGATTAAATATCTCATATGGGTGTAGGATTATCCCATACTCATGTGAGATGTTTAATTATTCATTTGGCAGAAAATTTGAAACATGATAATATTTTTTAATCAGAAATTACCTTGTTCGACAAATGATATATTATAATTTATTCACAATGTTTTTGTATCTACGGTTATATATTTATTTAGCTCAAAGTACTGGTTAGACACATCGTAAATATAAATTTTTTAAAAAATAAGATAATTATTTGTTAAAAAAAAAAAAAAAATTCCAAACAAAGAATTGCAGGCCCCAATTGCTGGTGGTATCAAACTCTTATTTTGCATAAATTATGCTAACTATTTAAAAAAAAAATTGTTATAAATTTTACAAATTTTAACATAATTATATCAATAATTTTTAGTATAATTAAAGCAATCAGAAGTCATGTAGATGTGAAGATATAAGAATAAATAAGGTAAAATATATATTTTTGCGTAAAGAGATTATAACATTTTTTTTTACTTTCACTATGATGATACAGTCCGTCCTAAGTGGATGGGTTGGGATGACCCAGGCTCTCCAGGTTCCGGTTCAAGGTGATGATCCCACCAAATGACCTGCAAGCAAGTCCAAAGGGGGACGGGGTAGTCCCCCAGTGAACCCTCCGGCGAGTGAATTAGTAGAGGAAGAAGGAAAATGTAGAGAGAGAGAGAAAAAGAGAGATAGAAAAGCCTAACCTTCCTCTTGTCTTTCATTCTTGCTTATATCCTTTGGTAATCATTTCACTGTCTCTCGTGACGTGCCTCCTTCCGCCGAAAGCTTGTGCCGTAGCTTACCTTGTTCAGGGTGAGCGGGCTCTGTTCCGACGGGGAGGTGTTGTCGTAATAAATGCTGTGATGGGATGCATTAATGGTGATGTGTTGTGGTAATAACTCTGCAGATCTTTGTCTGCTGACGTGGCCCGTGTTTCACCTGCCACGTGCCCGAATGCCATTGGCCCCCCTGTGACTAGATGGCCTCCAGTTGTCCTGGGCTTTGCCAACCGGCTTATGCTATTGGTCCTAAGCGATGGGTTCGGGGTGGTTTGCTGTGGGCCGTATGCCTCGTGGGCCTATCCATGTCAGTGTTGGCGCCGTCTGTGGGAACCTTGTGGTTTATTCGTGCGCTAGTTGTGTTCGCTATCGCCGGAGCCCTCCATTCTCACTATCACCTTTTTCCTCTCACCCGTCCAGGTGTATGGTCACGACTAGGTCCATGGCCTCCCACCATAATGCCACCGATCATCAAACAGACCCTTCCCATCCAAACAACCCACCACAGTACATCATCGAACTTACCAACAGTATTAACCGCATGGCCGAGCAAAACCAGGCCCTGATCAATGCTTTGCTCCAAAGAAACCTCCCTGCAGGAGGCATAGGAGATTTTTCGATCGGAGTGGTGCGGTTCAATTTTCAATTTTAATTTTTGTAAGGGGGTTTATGCTGAATTGAGCCTGGGGTGTGGAGCGAATTAAACTACGCACCCTTTCCAAAAGGCAATCACCATCAATAAGGCTTTAGAAATTATTCAATCAAGCCTCGGTGGACATGTAATACTTTTAGTTTAAAAATTAAAAGATTATTAAAAAATTAAAAATTTTATAATCTATATTAAAAAATTAAAATTTTTATGTTTTCTCTATTTTTTATATGTTTTTTCGTAAAAAATTAAAAAATTATTTTAAATATATTATCTCATATTTTACTCAAAAAATTACTAAAATAATTTGTTTCCAAACGAGATATTATTAGTTTAAATTATATGATTCATTACTTTTATGGTAGAGTTATAGAAGAGAACTGACTAGAGGAGTTGGCTCTTTCAACAAATTTTCTCCACCTTTCAACACCTCAGTGACTCTTTCCTGAGCCATTTTATCGGAGCCCAGCGTCAGAGACGCCCAGCCACCCAACTCCTAAACATTCGTCAGACCGAGGGGGAGTCGCTCCGCAGCTTCGTCACCCGCTTCAACACCGAGGCCCTTCAAGTAGCGGAGAATGACGACAAGGTCATCCTTACCGCTTTCATGGCCGGCCTGCGGTTGTCTGATTTCCTTTTCTCCCTCTCCAAAAACCCTCCAACCACCATGGCAGCTCTACTATCCAAAGCCTAGAAATACATGAATGCTGAAAATTCCCTGCCCGCTCGGCAAGAGCCGACCCCTAAAAATCCGACCCCCAGAGAAAAGAGGAAAGACTCCGAGCCCAGAACCGCCCAGTATAATAGCCAAACACCCCACTATAATGACCGACCCCCCCGTGCCGACCGGACGACTCCGACCAGACCGCCCGGTCGGTTTGAGCGATACACACCTCTCAACTCCCCTATGGAGCACGTCCTCAATCAGATCCAACGGGACTATCCCCTCAAGTGGCCCCTACCTTCACGAAACCCTTAAAAGATCAGTCCAAATACTGCCGCTTCCACCAAGACCATGGTCATACCACCGACGAGTGTATTAACCTCAAAGATCAGATTGAGACCTTTATACGCCAGGGCCGCCTCAGCCGATTCACAGATAACCGCCCTCCACAGAGGCAAAGAACCGACCTCACCAGGAACAATCACCGACAAACACCACCCCGCAATCAAGGCCCACCTAACCAAGGCCACGATCGCCCACCACCACAGCCTCGGCCTCCTGGAAATCCCCCTCCACCAGTCGGAGAGATCCGAGTTATTTCAGGTGGCCTTGCTTGCGGGGGACCATCCCGCTCGGCTCAGAAGGCAGAACTTAGAAAAATCAGGTAGGGCTCAGACAAAGCAGTGGCGACGGTTGACCGACCTCCCAAACAGGCAAAACAATGGATCGAACCCATCACCTTCACCGACACCGACTGTGCAGGAGTCCGTTACCCACATGATGACCCCCTTGTCATTTCCGCCATCCTCTCCAACTACAAAGTCAGACGAGTCCTCGTAGACAACGGCAGCTCTTCAGACATTATTTTCCTCAATTGCTT